AAAACTAATAGCTAATTTTCTTTGCATTTAACAATACTTATTCGGAAATTAAAAATCGCCATGGTATAGTATTGAAATGTGCACGAATTACCATAGAGTTACACATTATTTTAAATTCACTCTTGCGACAACTTTGACAATTCCTGCCTACAAAACTTACATTTTACGACAAGGTTTTCATGTCAATGGCATTGTAAGTAAATCAGCAGACGATATTCGCTATCTTTTTCAAACAGCTCGTAGTAACTACCAACAAAACAACTATTTTGCGGCTTAGTTACAAGTGTCTCGGGCTAAATGTGGCCCGCGGACCGCCAGTTTCATCACGCTGGTCTCTATTATGTAACTTACCAACATTTTCTTCGACGCTTAATTTAACCAAAAAGCTTCATTTGCACAGCAACTTTCAATGCTCGCTTCAATACCAAGGCCTTGAAACACATTTTCAGCAAGAACCATTGATGAATTAAATCAAGCACGTTGTACTCAAATGTTTATCAACAGTTCATAAGCTGGTGGAAATTATATCCAGTGAAACATAAATACCGGAAAAAAGGGGGGGATGCAAGTGGGCTAAAGGCTAGACTACCGGAGTTCGAATCCCAGCACGTGTTTTTATTTCTTTTTACCATCGTGTCCGGCTGTGGGGCCCACCAAGCCTTCTATCCCACTGCTAAAGGGGGGGAAACGTTGAAAGATAAAATATTCCGTTCTGAGCAATCATACTAGGCAGAGAGAGGGCTTATCGAAAGATCAAATGTTTGGCAAGGCCGTTTTTTATACGGGCTGGCCATGAACAGGTTCCATAACTGAGGCACAATTCTGTAAATTACAAAGTCGAAGATTAACTGAAAGAGCTGGGTAACCAATGTACTTGTGTTGGACACAGTTATTTTCCGTACAGACGAACGAGAAATCGATAAACAGAGGCAATAATTTATTCATACAGGTGAATCAACGATAAAGAATATATACTTACCATAACTACAATTTTAAATAAAAATACATAATTCCGGCTGTGGTAATAGACGATTCCAGATCTGTATTTAGGAACATTAGAGGTTCATATCCCCCCTCATACCTAAAATGAATGAATGAAAGTGTGTTTCTTGCCAATTCAGAAGAGAAAGGTTTCGTTTATTAATGTTATGTAATACAATTCCTTTATTCAATTATTTTTACACCAACTAAAACAACGATCCGGGACTGTTCGGAACAGAGGCCATTACTAGTCATTTGTGTGCTATAGGCGAAGTATACATACTAATCTCCTAGTGAAACAACGTGTTTACATCCCACCCCAAACTTGGGTTTATTTACAATATCGAGGCATAACATAAAACACAACCCATTAGCATTTCCTTGCTTTAACAGATGCAAATTAATCAATTACATCATTTAAGATAAATGGTTTTGTAATATCGCACTCACTGCTAGGAGGACAACTGTCCTGGCAAAGGAGTCTGTCTGTTACTGACCAAATGTCGCCCTTAGAGCGGTCGTATTGGAGAGGTCACGTCCGCCTACTGGTTGATGTTTGTTGAGATTCTCTCTCAGTCCTAATATCAAATACTGGAGTTGCACCATTATCCTAATAAAATAGAAGACCACAACTGCTATCACATTCCTTCCAGAACATCAATCACAATCGTCAGCGTAGTTGCCGGAGCAAAAGAATATGACAAAGGCGAATTTCAGCAACCCCACCCCACCCAAATTAACTTTCGAAAATGAATATTGTGCGTCAGTACGAATAATAACTATGCATAACTTGATATTTAGTTTACATTATATAAAGGATAATAACACGATACCGTTACTGAATATACACTGTCACTGTTTTGCACTTTACACAAAATAAGTACTAAAAGAAACACACATTAAAATTTATAACCCCCCCCCTTCGCCAAAGAAAACAAGCACAAACAAATTACTAAACAGAAGCCAAACAAACAAGATCAGCACAATACCTGTCCAGCAGCTGACAACAAAAAATTAATGGAGCCCATTCACGAGGAAAAGGGTCTACTATAATAGTTACACTGTCTGTCGACTTCACAACACACTCGACCACGTACGTATACATTAAGAAGAAAACTGAGCATTGTTCATGAATCGTCACTCGGGGCAAAACCATGTTATATAAAGTTGGCTAATAAATCGAAAATTCTGAAAGATAAAATATTTGGAAATGTCAGGAACTGTCAAAAGCAGATAAAATTCTGTGAAACAAACCACTATGCAGATCAGAATATTTCGCCGTCCTGTATTGCACTGAAAACATAAGCACAGAAATCTCTCGCCAATCCTGAACGTTAAGCAAGTTCATTACCGACACTGAATTTGGCCAGACAGAGGCCTTTTGCAAAACTGTGGTAATAAAAACCACGACAACTGTTAACACTCATCAAGGCATTAAGTTTCCTCGTTACACGCAATGTTATGTGGCCTAATAACATAAAATAGGAAAATAATCACAAAAATACGGGCAGCAACGGTAATCTGACAGCTAGAAAACTGGAGTCGGATGCCATAACAGCCATGCCCACAAAAAACGCGGATTTAATTAGTATCCTTACTCTTTGTCAAATGATATTGGGGCCGAGGAGATCAATGTGGGTGCGCCACATAGCAAGCAAAGTATATAAGAAACAAACATTTAATCGGAAAACCCGAAAAACAGTTACCACTTGGGAGATCCTGGCATTCCTATGTGGTAGACAATTTCAGAATGGATGTTAAACAGATAGCAGGCAAAAATTAATTCAAAAATTAAGTAATCCAAGGATAAGTACTCAGCCCTCCACTTTTCACCTCATACGTGTGCATGATTCTTCAAAATTATGATGGGATAAGACAATTATGCCCTATATGCACATAATTCAATTCTAAACATAATCATCAATGAGAAGCTATAAACCGTTATATCAACACAAGACAAAAATAACACACTAACTGGATCAAACAATTCATGATAAAATTCAATAAACTAATATTCCTAACTAAACAAATAAAATGGGCATGACACTAATTTAAAGACTTATATAAGAAAATAGATTAGTGATGTAAAAAGAGTTTCAGTTAGATGACATGTGAGCTTAAAGAACAAAGTGACTCTTGTCAATAGAGGTTAATGGGCTTAAATAAAGTAACCCTAGACACAAAAACGACTGCATATGTAGAAAATGGAATGTATAGCAAATGAGTACTTAAGATACAAGAAATAGCTTAGGTTACCACAAGCATGTATAGTAAGTAAAAAAGTATTCATACATTATGTATTCTTCTTGTCATTCCTTTTAATGACCTGCTAGAAAATTGATTTTAGGTGTAATTTGTATTAAATAATAATTTATAATAATATATAGTTTTGCATATTACATGAGAGTAAATTGTTTTATGATTT